TTGTCATATCTGTATTGTTTCAGCTGGTGTGTGGTACAGTTACATTGGGTTAGTACTACTAGAGAACACCATATAACACGAGAAGATTAAATATTGCAATTAAATAAGTTAATAACAAACAAATCAACAACAGCCACATGCAAGGAGAGCCTGCAGCCAAATACTTCTGGTTTAAGCATTGATTCCTTTTGCAGGCACAATTGCGATTGGATAGAAGGACATCGAACGCAGAACGTCACAATATAGTGTCCGAACTGTTGGTGCAAGTGGGGCTAACTGGAAGTGCCAGCACTCTGATAGGAAAACCCGGACAGGACAAAGTGTTGTCCGGGGGAGAGAAGAAGAGATTAGCCTTCGCTACTGAGGTACAGATCACACACAAAACTGAAGGACACACGATACCTGGATTTTATTTTATATGCTCGGTGATATGGGGGCACGCGGTAGCGTAGTTGGTTGAGGCACTATGCTACAAGCCGGAAGGTCGCGGGTTCAAGTCCCGATGAGGTCATTGGATTTTTTTCAATTGACCTAATCCTTCCAGCCTCACTATGGCCCTGGGGTCGACTCAGCCTCTAACAGAAATGAATACCAGGAATTAATTAAATAATTTTCCTGGGGAGTAAAGCGCGGCCGGCGCGTAAGGCTGACAAACTTAGCGCCATCTTTGAGCCGATTGTCTAGATAATGTGGGACTCTCAACGTCTCACAACCCTATGGGCCTTCACGGTCTGTTACAGGGCTAGCTTTACTTTTAACTTTTAATGTTCGCTGATATGTGATAAATTCCCGATGATTCTTGATCTTGTTCAACTTCACATCATTGAGAGCGTCTCCTACCAATGTCTCTTAATCTTAAGAACAGAGGGAAGGGTGTCTGTAAGCGTTCAAACAAAATGATCTTCAGGCACAATAATTTATTACAGCAATAAATAATTCTAGATTCGGATTATCTGGGTTATGACACCGTGTAGTCCTTTAGGTAGTTACCAAACTTCAGGAAGAACTAGCTGCTTCTGTCTTCAGAGACCCTTTTTGGAACTTAGACCCCAGTTTCAGCTTTCACAGCTTTGAAACCCTAAATGAAATTCACAATATTCTCTCTAGCTGATGACGAATCCACCGCTTCTATTCTGTGACGAGCCCACGACAGGACTGGATTCGTTCTCGGCGCAGAAATTGGTGGAGAAAATGAAGGAGATGACGCGTGGTGGTAGAACGATCGTGTGTACCATACACCAGCCTTCCTCCGAGGTCTTCAACATGTTCAATCAACTCATAATCTTAGCAGATGGACGAATCGCCTTTATTGGCAGTACAAAATTAGCCCTCGAATTCTTCAGCAAGTAAGTCGTGTAGCACATATAGTCGTAGTAATCACTATACATTTAAGGGATAATTGACAACCACCAAGATATGTTAGTAGGGAGTAGCTGAAAGCCATGTTTTCTTTTAGGATTATTAAAGATAAATTGTATTGAGTGCTGTGCTGTATTTGCTTGAAACAAGAAATGTGGATCCGGAGAAATAGCCGTTGATAGGTAATGTTCGCACGCAATGATAGAGGAATTGTCACGATATGAGTTGCGACAAGTACGGCCGTTGCTATGGAGCGATTGGATAAGAACTTACGTGGTAACGATACACAACAATAGAAGAGTTGTCGCAAGCGGCGTTCTCTGTTACTGCTCTTCTAAGTGGACATTTGCCAAAAGAGTTCCCCTCCAAACGTTCATGTGCATTCTGCTTCTCCCTTATCCTCACCGCATGCCCAGAGTATCGTGATCCCTTGGGCTTCAGTTCCAGTACATATATAGGTTATGTTCCCTACAGACATGGCTATGAATGCCCGGAGACCTACAGCCCTGCAGACTTCTTCATCCGCATGTTGGCCATCACGCTTGACTCGGAGGACGAGTGCCGGAGGGTGGTGAAGAGGCTGTGTGACGAGTTTGCTGTGAGCGAAGCGGCGCGCGAGGTGGAACTGACAGTGCAGCTCGAGGCGCGCAAGGGGTCAGCCTGCGAGGTAACTACAGACAAGAGGTCCTACTTCACATGCAGAAGATCCTGGTCCGAATATCGGCCGAGAAAGAGGATACGGCGGTTAAGTACTTCCTGGATTCTCTGACTTTCTATAGGCCGATGTTTCTCAGTTTTAACAAGAGGGGGGGGGGTAAAGATAAGAAAAGGTATATCTGTCCCTGGGCTTAATTATTTCAGCACTACGCCATTAAAACGTAAGGTGAAGTGGATGTATAGATTCACGTATTCTTGATCTCGGCATTAGTTTGAGGTAAGTGGTCACTTTCACACTCCGACCGCTTTGCTCCCGTGGGGGATACTTGAACATCGTTTGCAAGGGCATATAAATTTTCCACAAGAAGTTATTATAAAGTTACAATTGTAGAAGGACAAAATTTGGTGTACAAATAATATTAATTTTGGAGATAATTGTCTCCTTAGATGTGACGCCGTGTAGTTTGTCAGAGAGGTACCAAGTTTTCAGAGGAACGTTCTTATTCCCCCTCCAGTGTAGAAGATTACATAAATTCTCTTCTACTTTTCTACCTTGAGGATGAAAGCATTACGTCCATTCGAAACGTCGGTAAGCATTATATGATTACAAGACGTCGCATTCCAATAGGCGGCAATAGTCATATTCTCTCTCTTTTTCATACTTATAATTTCATGTGTTGTATTAGGTCACGGTTTCCTGGAATATGTAAAGGTAAAAGTATAGCTATTCCTGTAACAGGCCATGAAGGCCCATAGGGATGTGAGACGTCGAGGCTGCCACATTTTCTCTAGACAATCGACTCACAGATGGCGGTGAGGTTGTCAGTCCAACACGGCGGCCGCCCTTTACCCCCAGGAAGATTTTTGATACTCATTTCTGTTAGAGGCTGAGTCGACTCCAGGACCATAGTGCGACTGGAAGGATTAGGTAAACTAAAAAATATCCACCTCATCTGGACTTGAACACGCGACCTTCCGGCTTGTAGCATAGTGCCTCAACCAACTAAACTACCTCGTGCGTGTAGATAAACTAGAGTTTGGAAGGAACTTTGTAGTAATTGACTGTGGCCTAATGAATGTATTTCACTGGCAATTACCTGGATGGAGTGAGGAAAATAAACAAAAAATGTTGTTTCCTTCTAATTTTTCCGGGATCTCCGTATTCATATTTGCCATATAAAAGACCATTCATTCCACTTTCATGTTTCAATACATTGTGCAATTGAAATATTTTAACAAGTTAATTTCTTTGTTTATACAGGTACCATTAGGCGTCTGTTTCTACGTGTCGCGATGCGGTGGGTCGGGATTTGTTCAATTTACACCATAATTCATATTGAAAATTGTTCTTTGTTTACATAAATATATTTTTTTATTATTTTCAGCACATCAGTGAAATAAGGGAGCAGAACTTGTAAGTACTTAATATATTCAAGAAAGAAATATTCTTTTTTTATAATTCTTTAAGCCTAAATTACGTTCATATACGATATTTACATAATGTGTGACTTTTGAAATGTATATTTGCTCTGTGTGGACTGAAGTGGCAGTCAAAGAATTACTAACTGTAATATATCCATGAATCCAGAAGCTCGACTTTCAGAAATGTATCAGTCTATGCACTTTTCTAGAATATTTATCCTCCATGTCTGAAATTCATTAGCTTTTGTGAACTACACAGGTTCATTTTAAATTCTAAATTTATTGGGGGTTTATGTAAAGTTTGAAAGATAAACTGCTAAAGCGGATTTTAAGAAGAGAAACTTTAGAATGTGGACTGGATTGATCTGGCTCAGGATAAGGTTCTGTTATTGGCCCTTGTGAAGAGAGCAATAGGCTCATGGGTTCCATAAAAGGCAGACAATTATTTGAAAAGCTGAACGACTTTCAGTTTATCGAGAAAGTCTCTGCTCATTGGGGTTAATTTTATCTATTTGATTTTGACATGCTCACAAGGAATAAGCGTGGACAATAAATAAAGAACTTGCTGTAAATGAATATAAAAAAAGGTTGTGATTTACATGGTTAATATATGGCTACATTGATTGGAATTTAAATGTAGCTGTAAAATTAATGTTGAAGGGGTTGATGGTAATAATAGTAGAAAAAACGTAATAGTGAAGCTATCCCTGGAAAGGGTCGTGAAGGCCCATAGGATTGTGAAACGTCGAGGCTCCCACATTTTCTAGACAATCGGCTCAAAGATGGCGCTAAGGTTGTCAGTCTTAAGTGCCGGCCGTCCTTTACCCCCCAGGAAGGTTCCTGGCACTCATTTCTATTAGAGGTTGAGTCAACACCAGGGCCATAGTGCGACTGGAAATAATAGATCAAATGAAAAAAAAATCAATGACCTGATCGGGAATCGAAACCGCGACCTTCAGGCTTGTAGCATAGTGCATCACCCAACTACGCTACTGCATGCTTATAATAATAATAATGTTTTTTTTTCAGCAAAGCTCCATTTTGGTTTGATAGATTTCAGTGGCTGACATATCGCTCCTTCAAACAAGTTCTTCGTGACCCTTCAGTTCAGTTCTTGATGATTTTGCAGAAAATAGTAAGTAAGGAGGAGACAAATATGTACTTTGAAAGCCTCAAACATTTTCAAATAGATATTTCAAAGTTGACTCTAACAACATGTAAGGCGAAAATTATGGTTTTCTGGGCTGTGAAACCGTGCAATTTATTCACTGAACTGCATAGCTTCACATCCCAGAAGATCCAGTGGTAATCTCATAGCTTTACTGGAATGTATATAGTCTTAAGGCGATGATATATTGGATCACTCACTCACTCACTCACTCATGGAGCTTACCTCTTCTTGAGAAGCCGCCAATTGTGCAGCTACTCAAGAGCTTCCCAGCATTTTATAGAACACGAAGGTTCATCAACATGTTCACAAGATCCCTTCACTGTTCCCTATCCTGAGCCAGATCAATCCAATCCATACCATCACATCCTATCTCTCTAAGATCAATTTTCATACTGTCCACCCACCTATGTCTTGGTCTTCCAACTGATACCTTTCCATCTGACTTTCCCATCAATATCTTACATGCATTTATCTTTTCCATAATTCGTGCTACATGACCTGCCCACCTCATCCTCTTTCACTTGATCATTCTAATTATACTTGAAGAAGAGTACAAGTTATGAAGCTCCTCATTATGCAGTTTTCTTCAACCTCCTGTCACTTCATCTCTCTTCGGTGCAAACATTCTCCTCAACGCCTCTTCTCAGACACCCTCAGTCTACGTTCCTCCCTTAATGTCAGAGACCAAGTTTCACACCCATGCAGAACCATTATAGTTTTGTATATTCTAATTTCACATAATTCAAAACTCATTTTCTTACATTACTTTCTTTATTCGTCGTATCATGTTCGCACCATATCCAATGAGTACAGGGGGCTCCTTTCCGGGGGCTAAAGCTGCCGCGACAGGAAGCTGACTCTTCACTTCTATACAACGGCATTTTCACTGCTCCTCACGCCTTCATGGCGTAATGCTTAATTAATAAATTGAGCACATGGACAGCTTTACTTTACCTTAACATGTTCCCGCCAGTAATGTCTGCCACCTGAAATTCTGTGCGCTATAACAATAATCTGCAACGTCTCTCTGTCATCTCATGAAATCTGGAGTTCTCTTGTCGGTGACCTTGACCATTGCTGTCTTAAAACTTTCAAACATAATCAAGACTTGTTGTTACATGCAGAACAGAAGTTTTAAAAATAAAAACATGGAATAACAGAAGAAGAAATCAGTATCCTGAAACTTGTTTTCTGAGAGCATAAGTAGGAAGTGTATTCCAAGAACCAAAGAGGAAAGTACGTGCACATGATTGCCTCCTTAAATGTGACGCCGTATAGACTGGTAGATGTTTACCAATGTTTTGGAATAATGTCTTGCCTCCTTCCTTAGGATGAAACACCTACTAGAGTATACGGCGTCGGTCTTAGAAAGTACTAACTCATCTGGTCTAACACCTCTGAACATGGTTCTTGCTAAGCCCCTGTTCTGTGAGACAGGAAAAGCCTCGGTCAGATTTAAGTGAGAGAGTTTGTGTCCGCAGGCTCTCGCCGTGATGGTAGGGCTCTGCTTTGCCGGCTCTGTGTCCGAGACGCAGACTGGGATCCAGTCTGTGCAGGGTGCCCTGTTCATGTTTGTGACGGAGAATACATTTGCGCCCATGTACTCGACGCTGGCATTCTTTCCTTTGGAACTGCCCCTCTTCACAAGGGAGTATCGCAGCGGCCTGTACAGTACACATCTCTACTACTTGTCGAAAATGGCTGCCATGGTGAGTAGGTGTTCACTTGTTTCATCGTCCTACTTCTTGGATGAGGTTCTATGGCCTCTTCTGATTCAGAGTTCACAAATAATAAATCTTTTGTACATATGATAAGATCTCGTGTCAGTCGCGAGGCATCTACGTGTACATACTTGGATTTGTACAACACAAAAACTGCTAAACGCTATCTCTGTAACTGCTTTATGTAACGTTACTTACTTACTTACTTACTTACTCATGGAGCTGAGCCCTTCTGGAGGAGCCGTCAATTCTGCAGCTACTCAAGAATTTCCCAGCATTTTGTGGAACCCGAAGGTTCATTACCATGTTCACAATAGCCCTCCACTGGTCCCTATCCTGAACCAGATCAATCCAATCCATATCATCCCATCCTATCTCCCTAAGGTCCATTTAGTATTGTCCACCCACCTACGCCTTGGTCTTCCCAGTGGTCTCTTTCATTCTGGTTTTTCTACCAATATCCTATGTGCATTCCTCGTCCCCTTATTCGTGCTACATGCTCTGCCCACCTCATCCTCCTTTACTTGATCATTCTAATTATACTTGGAGAAGACTACAAGTTACGAAGCTCCTCATTATGCAGTTTTCTCGAACCTCCTGTCACTTCATCCCTCTTCGGTCCAAATATACTCCTCAACGCCCCGTTCTCAAACACCCTCAGTATATGTAAATATGTAAGGTTACTGATCATAAAGAAGAAAAAAATAATTCCGTACTTCAGTAATATTAATCCCAATTCAACCACATTCGGCTGAACACGTCACTGGATATAAGCGTGAATGAAAATATAGATAAATGATTACACAAAAACAATCATTTTTAGTCTACTTTCTTTATTTTGAAAAAACGAAAGCAGGCTTTTGAGATCACCATGCTCTCTGGGTTTTCCCCACTATCAACTTCTGAAGGTCTGCACCAATCTTTATGAAATTTTGTATGTACATCATGGCTCTTGAGCCCATCTCAGCGGCGTACTTCACAAATCCTTCCCACCAGTCTGTGTGTCTGCATGTGTATCCCCCTCTCGTTGCTAGGCAACGACTCGGAAAAGCGTTACTGCAGCACGAATACACACTCAATATCAGAAAAACTGAGATGTGTAAGATCGAGAAAAAAGAACCGAAGTGAGCGGAGAAGCTCATGGAGGTAGGCCTAGGCACACTGGGGCTGTAGTGCCAAGGGGGAAAAATACATAATATGAATCTCTTTTAATTTGTAGGATCGACATTTATGTCGACACATTCCACTTTTAATCGAAGTCGGGGTGGGGAGAAGAGAACTGGCCCATCACATGATGACCTACATGTGTTTCTGCTCGTATCTCGAACATAACTCTCTAATTATTTATCGAAGTAAAGAATATTTCGAACAATAGCTGTTGACAAGACGAAGCTCATATTTCATAATCACTATAACCTTCGGAGCATAAGCGTAGAGAACTGAAGTATTTTATTATCGGAAACAATTGAAGGCACCTTCCTCCAACCCGAACTTACAGTGTACATGTAAATGAAACAAAACAATTGACAGTATCAAAAGATCCTATAAGCTTCAAACTGGAATTGTGAGGTAAACCAATTTAAGAAGTATTGGAATTAAAATATATAGGAACATAAACCAAGAGCAGAAATAGATTAGTTGAAGAAATTACAATTCAAGCAAACAATGCCAGCAGGATATCAAGATATTTGAACAGCTGCATATGGAATAAGAAGACCTTGAGGAAAGGTACAAAAACAAGGATATGTACATCAGCAGTGAGGCCCGTAATGACATATGGCTTTGAAAACAGAACTGGAACACAAAAAAACCAAGCGAATCAATGAAATTACATAGGCGAAAATATTACGCAGAGATCGTTAAGGGATGAAGTGAAAAGTTCTAATAGGAGGCTGTGAAATTGAACCTGTAAACAAATGGCTTAATAACAGAAGGACAAAAAGGAATGAACACATTGGTCGAATTGGGGGAGGGGGGAGGACAGACTAGTAAGAATATTGAGATGCTGGACGCCAAAGGGATGAGGAATTACGGAAGACCAAAATGAGGTTTAAGAATACGATCAAGCAGGAAGACTGAGTGGGGTAACAAGTTACAGAGCTTGTCACAGAAAATAAGAAAAGATGTATGAATGTTTAGCAAACATATAATTAATTAAACAGCTTGTTATGAGCATGCTGCTAAGAGATTTCTTCTTCATCTATTCCTGTCGCTCCCACTTGAAGCATACGGCATCAGTGAAACGCTGGATTCACTTAAATTTCTTAATTTTGTGTAGTCTGTAGGACTGTAGGCGGATCAGTCCTTCGCAAGGCCGCTACCTAAACCACAGAATAAACGCAAACAGACATCTATGTTTTGAGTGGGATTCGAACTCACGATCCCACTGTTCTAGCGAACGAAGACATTTCATGCCTTAGAACGCGCGGCCACTGTGATCGGCCGCTAAAAGATACAGAAGGTAAAGCTATCCCTGCTACAGGCCGTCGAGGCTCCCACATTTTATAGACAGTCGACCCATGGATGGCGATCAGGTTGTCAGCCTTATGCGGCGGCCGCCTTTCATTCCCAGGAAGTTTCCTGCCATTCATTTCTGTTAGAGACTGAGTCGACTCCAAGGTCACAATGCTGTTGGAAGGATTAAGTCAATAGAAAAGGCCAATGACCTGATTGGGAATCGAACCCGAACCTTCCGGCTTATAGCATAGTGCCTCAACGAACTACGCTACCGCGTGACCCCGCTAAAAAATATACTTAATTATAATTCAAATGTTGTCTTTCTAATTCCCTTTTTACACGTTTGCAACAAGCAGTTGCAAAAATGCGGCTATGAGTTTCGCTGTGTCTTTCTGTCAGTCCGGCCGTATGTATCAATCCGAGTTCATGTATTTTATTCCAAATTCACTCTCTTCATAGGTCGTAAGATTTTTTGAGATGATTGAACAAATTAGGCGAATGCAACAGCAGTATTACGCTACTACTTATGTCTTTGCTAATTAGCACTCCTTTGCGGATTCAATTGATCAGCGTCTCAGCTTTTAGCAACCGAAAAATGCGTGATTTTATGTTGTATGATTGCAGCTCCCTGGACTGACTGTGGAGCCACTTCTGTTCGTACTAATTGCCTACTGGCTCACCGGACTCAGGAATACGCTGTACGCGTTCCTAATGACTGCCATGATCACAACCCTCACCATGAACGTGTCAGCAGCCTGTGGTAAGGGAGACTTTCCTTTGTTAGAATCAGTGTCACGCAGCTCAAATTCATTGGAGATTACAAGCTGGGAAAACTGAGCAGGATAGCTTAGCAGTAGGAGAAAATTCTGCAATTGTAGCTAAGTTTTGGTTAGGTTCCTGATTCTTTCTAGGCGAATCTGTGGAAGGTGAGGTCGGTTCTTCCTTTCGCTTCACATGTACAACATGTACGCCTAACAAGCCTCTTGCCTCCTTAACTGCATGACGTCTGTAGTTGATAAAATGTTGTTAAATTATCTACAAATAAATACAGTATAGAGCATTTAAGGTGCTGGCAGCAGTGGCCATGAAATATATTGATGTTGTCCCTTTTAACTTGGAAAATAGAAACTGGGCCGATTGCACGAATTGCTTTCGTGTGATGATTAAAACACAAGATAACATTGTAACTTCATTAATGATTTAGACTGCTTCAGTATTTGTCATACAATTTTTCAAGCTTACAGATAGGCACATTGAGAGATTACTGGAGCTTTATCAGTAGGATATTGGTAGGAGGTGAATATAATGTTTTCAGTGAAGTCTTATGAAAGTTTAAAAACTTATGTGTAAGTATTTTATTTGAATGTAATCTCACTTTTACGAATACCTGTGCTGTGTTCGAAATTTTAGATCACCGTTTAGTGGTTAGAATTCCTGTTTGGAGGTTTTAGTGTCAAATTTTGGAAATAAGAAGCCTGGATGAAGGTTTGTGTGATTTTCCTAAGTATCTACGTTCATACTTTCATGTAAATGTGATGGGGTTAGCTACGAAAATTTCGTTACGTAATTTCCAAACTCGGCATGTACTGTCTTCGCTCGCTTGGAAACCGGGATAGGGCATGGATGTTTAGTGTGTGTGTGTGTGTGTGTGTGTGTGCGTTTTTCTGTGTTTGTGTACAGGTAGAGGCCTTGCGACGAGCTGATCACCCGCCCAAGGAGTCCTACCGAACGTGTAAGATCTCGAAAAACCGAAGTGAACGGAGAAGTTCATGGAGGTAGGCCTAGGACCACTGGGGCTGTAGTGCCAAGGAAGAAAAAAAAACTCCAAACTCACATTTCATAACGATCCTGGTTGGAATGAAGAAGATATTAAAATCGCCTGTACATAAATCACATGTGAGGACTATGATCGGGCTCAGGTGCTCAAGAATGTCCCCTCTTTATCTCCAAATATGGGCCAACTCTTATAAAATTTAGAAGTGCAAGTGTAACGAAATAATTAATGCCACTTCACAGGCTGTTTCTTCTCGAATGCCTTCAGCTCCGTGGCAACAGCGATGGCGTGTTTGGTCCCATTTGACTGTGTTCTCATGGTCACTTCTGGACTCTTTTCTAAGCTCAGGTATGTATAATCCACGCTGTCTAATAAACTGCATGGGCCGCGCCATAGCTCAGGCGGTTAGCCACTGGTTTCCCACCGCGTCGGCCCGGGTTCGATCCTTGGTCTGGTCAAGTTTTCTCTGAAGACTCCGGTTTCCCCTGCTACACAATCACCCTCACCTATCATCTGGGGCTGGTACAATAGGCCAGAAGTGGACGCAGTACAAGGGACTTAGTCCCACCCCACTAGCAATATAAAAGAATAAACTGCATGGAATATATTGATAAGAATTGTACAGTGATAGAAAACACAGCGAGCAAGACCGAGCTAAGGGATACATAAAATAACGAGTAGACACGACCACTTCCTTCCACAATCTCTCCCATTCATTATCCACTTATCACCCTATCATTTGATGCTTAAAATGGACGAAATGCACTAAGAGGATCCAAACGCCCATAGCTCTCAAATGTATTCACATTAATGTAGCAAGGGGGGGCGTTACGGACCTGTCGGATGCTACCACACTGGAGCGCCTAGTGGCACACGTGGAATCCTGAAATTTTGTACGGCAGGTCTGGGAGAACTCTGAAAAATATGCAACTTATTCAGACGTATCCGATCACAATGGCCGCACGGCCTAAGGCATGTACTGTCTTCACTAGCTCTAACACTGAAATCGTGGGTTCGAATCCCGCTCGAGGCATGGATGTCTCTGTGCGTTTTTTGTTCTGTGTTTAGGTAGCGGCCTTGTGACGTTCTGATCCTCGTCCAAGGAGTCCTAGCGACTGTGTATATGTTTAAGAAGCTGAAAAAGCGGCCAAGGTCCAACAAAGGACTGTGGATCCATAGATAGATAGATAAATAGACAGTATCGAGGCATCTCCTTTGTAGACTGAAAGAGATGTCCCAGTTACAACAATCGGAGTCGAACTGCAAGCAAGAGACTAATAATAGTTTAGCGTTAAATCATTGTTTTTCCTCTGATCGATAAAACTAATAAATTATTGGAACCAGGAGTCTGAAATTTTGTATTGATATAGGTCATAAATCTGACTACACACACTATTCAAAACATTTTATTTATTTATTTTATCGGGAAAAACTAAGATACCCGAGATCCATAATAATACAAATTATGTACAGAAATTAACCGGTAATTTTTATTAATTTATAGCCGTCGCTTGCCTTATTATTAATGTGTTACAAATTTTTCACATATCTTCCTGATTTTTGTTAAGGTACAATACCTTGTGGCATGCGTATTATGCGATGTGCTGAGGTGTCAATTACGCACATATATACTCTACTTGTGCAGGCAACCGGAAGCATTCGCTCTCACGATGAATATTAATGTAAGATATGGGAGAATTGCCAAGCTACATGGCGAGTAGAAAGGAAGAGACCAATGATTAAATCAAGTTAATCAATAGAGCGGGCCCTTGGGCCCGGGATTGTGCCCCAGTTTTCTGGCATGAAGGTCATTATGTACAGATAATATTACGTAAGTAACATATCGACGTTTTCATGTTGCAGCACACTGCCATATTACATCAGCTGGACTCAGAACCTGTCATGGCTAATGTACTCAAATGAGGCTATGTCCATAGTTCAGTGGGTGGATGTTCGCAACATTAGTAAGTACCTGAGATTCAGTGGCCGCCGTGCCGAGTGGACCCAGTTGGACTCCACCCCCCCACTAAGCGAATTTAAAAAATTAAGTATCTGAGATATCTTGAGGAGCCGTGGTAGCGTAGTCGGTATAGCGACTGGCTACGGGCTGGACCACTGAGGGGTCAGAGTTCGAGTCCTGGTAGGGTCAAGAATTTTCTCTCCTCCAAATCGTCCATACTGGCTCTGGAGTCCACGCAACCTCCTATCCAGTGGTTACCGTGGGCTATTTCCCCAGGGGTAAAGCGGCCGGTTCGTGAAGCTGACTACTTGCCTCCATCTAGTGCCGAGGTCAAGACAGCGGATAGAGGATGTCGCGTAGTCAACGCAGCGAATCTCCACGCCCGTTAATTTCGGCTTTCTAGACTGAGTCTGATAGAGTTATTGTCCTAGAATTTGCTGATTCACATGTAAATGCTGTCTTTGTGCTTAGACTAACCACCCCATGACGGTATGCGGGCGAGTAGAGATATCGAATGTTGTATTCTCGGCTTCGGCACTAGATGGAGGTGTGGACAGCTTGATGCTCCGGCGGCATTGGTCCCGAAACAGGAACCCGCGGCACACATTGGATAGGATGGGTGGGCTCAACGAAGTGTCGATCTGAAATTGACGACGAAGAGAAGTCTTTTGTCTGTGCTGGGGAATCGAACGGAAGCCATTCAGGTCGTAGCCAGTCACTTTAATGGCTCATCTATTATGGCTGATTATTTAATTTTATATGGGTATGGAATTTAGTCTTACCGGTCACGGTAGCCGAGCGGTCTAAGGCATGTACTGTCTTCACTCGCTTGGAAACCGGGACCGTGGGTTCGAATCCCACTCAGGGCATGGATGTATAGTTTGTGTGTTTTTCTGTGTTTGTGTACAGCTAGAGGCCTTGCGACGAGCTGATCACCCACCCAAGGAGTCCTACCGAATGTGTAAGATCTAGAAAAACCAAAGTGAACGGAGAAGTTCATGGAGGTAGGCCTAGGCCCACTGGCGCTGTAGTGCCAAGGGGGGAAAAAATGGAATTTAGTCTTACCCTAAAGGAATACGTTTCTTTTCGGGCTTGAAAACAGGTGCTCAAGAAAGTAACCTCAGGATGGGAAGAATTAAACACTGAGAAACTTCATGTTATACGTGTAATCTTCACTTAATATTATTAGAATGATGAGATATACGAGACATGTAGCAAGCAAGCACGAGAAGTGCATACTGACTACTGGTCGGAAAACCTAAGATGAGGAGACAATGTGGAAGACTTAGATGCGAGGATACAGCGACACAGAGCAGAATGTTCCTGGACTGCGAGATGCAGTGGCGGCATTCTTATTAACATGAAGGTAAAGGGAGGGGATTTATGACACAAGAAGGCTCTATGCCACTGATTTACCTGAATAATAATTAAAATACATACGTCTACTGGAGCGCACGGTGGCGTAGTTGGTTGAGGTATTATGCTACAAGCCGGAAGGTCACTGTTTCGATTCGCGATGAGATCATTGGATATTTTCAGTTTACCTAAACTTTCCAGGCGCTCTATGGCCCTGGGGTCGACTCAACTTCTAACAGAAATGGGTCCCTGGAATCTCCCTGAGGGGTAAAGGGCGGCAGGCGCTTAAGGCTGACAACCTTACCGATATCTGTGAGCCAATTGTCTAGAAAATGTGGGAGTCTCGACGTCTCACAACCATGTGGGCCTTCACTGCCTGTTACAGGGATAGCTTTACCTTACTTTTTTGTAGGTCTATTGATAATTTGCGATCGCCCATCGTGAATTAACCAGACGTTACAGTGATACTCTGTGACAGGCTTATTTTAAGTACTGTAGATTTACTGCTGGAGGTCTGAATTATTATGTGTTTTCATACTTATCTTCTTTTCAGCGTGCGAATTGCAGAATCCAGACCTGCCATGCCTGAAGAACGGGTCGGAAGTTCTAGACAAATACAATTTCAGAACTGAACATTTATGGAGGAATATTGTTGCTATGACAACTTTGTATTTTATTTTTCATCTCCTTGGTTATTTATGTTTACGTTCCCGAGCCAGAAATTCTTGATCTTGTTATTCTTCTAGAAGTGCAAATAAATATACTCGTATGTTGTAATGCTTCCTCTACGTAACGTCTCTACCATGCTACTGACTGTATGATCAGTACAGTTCGTGCAGATATAAGTCTGATACTGAAGATTTATCTCTTCTAGCGTGTCCCGCCGTGTTTCGGAGGAAAGTGCTGCCTCCATCTTCAAGCTAGAAGAGTCACCATATTCTACAATGAAAATGAAGATAGCGCCTTCCGTTGAAATGTTGGTGACGAGGTACCAGATTATACGGCGTCATGTATTTATCGTGAAGGTCCAAAGAACCCTCTCTCTTATAAGTCTGATACTGAAATTCTGTAGCTCTATTTGTTCGACCGCGTTACGTGTAAAATATCTGTGGAGATGTTGCAACTCTAACCCCATGGAAATGAGCCTTTCTTGAGAAGCTGTCAGTTATGTAGCTCGTGAAGATGATTAGGAAGAAAACTGAGGTTTTAATCTTACAGATTTATGTCTCTTTATGGGTGTCTGGAAAACTACTTCTACTTGGAGCCATAATTTATTTCCTGTTTTCTGTGGGTATGAAACTTAGTTTCTCACATAAGGGAAGAACAGAGAGAGAGGGTGTTCGAGATGAGGGTGGGATAGCTGGACTTGATATTCATCTCAGTGTTTCTCGAGTTAGAATGAGACATGTATGGTCATACTGGCTTTGGGGAGCACTGTCTTCTGGGATGTGGTGCCGGTTATTCTGGCAGACATGTGCCGATGTACAGGAATGTACTATTTACATATCAGGATTGAAGTGTAAGACAGCCAAGCACACTTATTACTCTTTGCTGCTTGCTTCCTCGTCTTAGTTAGTTAGTTATTGGAGAGGGGGGGTTTCCCCATGCACTTAGACCTGTAGTGGTCCATTGTGCTTCCCTCTATGATTTCTACCAGCCTCTATATCCTACCGGTATTGGTGCTTACCATCAGTCCCGCCCAGCCAGCGAGACCGGCTCTCTACTGGCTGAGAAGTATCTATAATGCTTCCCCCATCTACCGGAGGTGTTAGTGACTGCTGTTGGGCGGCAAACGTCCGCAATTTTGCTCAGTGACCTCCTTTGGAGGTATGAGGTTCTTTTACGTGCCGTAAAGCTACGACACGGGGCCCATGGCTTAAAGTCCCTCCCGGAGGACTTGTTCCCTGAATTTTTCCGCCCTTAAAAATTCGACGACCTCCGCCGGGCATTTGAACCTGCGTACTACGAGTCATGGGGTGGGAACGTTACCTCTAGACTACGGAGGCCGCTTGCTTCCTCGTCTTACTCTTCCGGGATGTGGTGCCGTGGAGTCTCGTATAAATATACCGACGTTAAGGAGGAAGGTAGTGCCTCTTTACTGGCGAGCAGCACGCAACAAGCAGAGTCGCTTTGTTGTTGCCTGCTGTACACTGGTTTCTTGTTTAGCTTACTCTTAGATCCTGAAGATGGGGACGACTTTTTCCTCTGAAACGTCAGTTAGCTTTCACCAGGCTGCTGTGCGCTGTACAACATAAACTCTTTCGAAAATTGATTTTCTTGCGCGCACATGTAATTAACGCTTTCGTCAAAAGATGGCAGTAGGAAGCATTCATACTGTAGCACCACCTATGAGGAACCATTTCTCAGCCTACACCTTAGAATGCCAACCTAGTATCATGAAATACGCTACCTGGAAGCTATATATTGCTTGAGTTAACTAGTGAATTCTACTATGTTAATTAGATGAATTCCGAGGTACAGAGTCCTTCATAAGAAGCTGATCATCTCTCGGTCGGTCGAGAAATTTTGTGCCTGTCGTGTACCACGAAGGTTCCTCATGCAGCACCACTTAATTCTAATCCACATCTTCAGACCATCTTTATTATATCATCCTAGCAATGTCTGGTGTATAGTACAAATGCTGAAAGGCTTAAGTATGTAATACTCTCTCTACCATCTCCTATCCACAGCGTCGTGTTCTGAAACATCCTTAACCAATCATAATGTGGTTTTCTGCGTTTTGATGCCGTGCTACAGTCTGGTTTCAGAGGAACATGCAGCAGTATCTTCTGGATCACGTCAAACCTGAAAATGTAAGCAGTATGATCTTCCTCAAGGTTTGTACCCACAAAAATAATAAATAATAAAACCTTTCAATTATAACCACAGAACTCATTCCCTTACAAACGAATGCACACGTATGTTAACTCTTAATTTTATCTTCTGGAATATGATAATTGTTCTACCCTGTAGACAGAAGCAGTATGTTCTTCCGAAACTATGCCACCCATGTACCTCAATACGCGGAATTATAATTCAGAAGGCCACAATAAAATGGTGGATACTTCCAATCCATCTTATAACTTATATTAAGTAATTAGTTTTAAATAACTGCATAACGAGGAGCTTCATAATTTATACTCTTCGCCAAGTATAATTAGAACGATAAAGTCAAGGGGGATAGGATGGAAAGGGCATGCAGCACGATTGAAGAGAATTCGACAGTGGAGCCAGGATAGCTTAGTAGGTATAGCGACGACTACTGGCTGGACTGCGAGGGTTCTATTCCCGGTAGGGGCAAAAGAGTTTTCTTTGCCCCTGGCCGGACCTGGAGCTCACCCAGCCTTCTACCTAATGGGTAAAGTGGCCTCCTTCCCCGGGGTTGAAGCGGCCGGGGTAGGGTCAAGAATGGTGGAGCTATACCTCCACTCTCCAATGCGTTTTATGGTCGTGGTGATTAATTAATTAAGCACTGGGACAACTTTTATTAACTTGAAAGGTGACGAGGAGAAACAAGGGGGGGGGAGATAGATAAATAGACAGACAGACATGTGCACCTCCCCATTAGGCAACTTGAATAAATTCTGTATGAAAAGGATCACCTGATCAGAAGGCCTTATGGAAACTTTCTTAGCCAAAAGGATTGAGCAAAAAGTCACGTGGTTGGGAACACTGGGTCCGTTCCGCCATGTTGGTATATGTCGGACATGGTACGCGAGGTTGTGAATGAGTTTGTGAGTTATTAGAATTAGTGGTTGTTTATGTTAAGTATGCGAGATGATACGAAATTCAGGGGCTGCAAGAAGCATTGCAGGATTGGTTTACGTTATAATAGCACGTGATGAAAATAGCAACAGTTGACAGGTAGTTGTATTAAAGCCGCGAATAGATGAGTCATCAAGGTACAAATAATGCATTACTGCAACTGCAACTACTGACTGGATTTTGCTAGAGCTGTATCTTCATATGCAGTGTAAGGTATATGTAACGTAGAATAAGCAATATTTTATTACATTTTCATTTAATACTTTAAAAGAAGGATCATATTTCAAAATATCTGCATTTTGGGCGGGACAGTTTGTGACCGAGAGGCAAACCGAAATAAGAATAATTTGTTCAGACTTTAAATGCCAATATATGTTTCTGACTTTAAAATTAGAGATATCATCGTTTCATTGCTGGTGAGGGTAAATAGGAGGAAGCACACATGGCTAACATGACGCACTAGTTTCGTATTATTTTTGTGCAATATTAAATTGATTATAATTTTTCAGGAATTTTAAAAAAGACAAATGACGTTATATAAGATTTCATAATGTTATGTGTGGCTGTTATGAAATGTGTTGCCGTCAGGCAAGGCGAGCGGAGTTACGAATCGCACCATTTTTTAACAAGCTGGGAAGTGTCAGATCAGTGATGTGTAACTTCGGTAAATGAATGAGAATAGTAATAACACTTCTGCGTATATGAATCACGAGTATTAAAAATAAAAAATGAAGCATAGTGCGTGTGTTGTTACTGTTTTTTTCACTCCGTTCTTGTGAATTGTTACATATTTTCTAAATTGGCGCCTTTTTATACGTTCAGAAGTATTTGCGCTTGTTTTAGATTATGTATAACTACTGTATACTTTCGATTATTCGCATGCGGATTATTCGGTTTTCGGTGTATCATTGCGCCTTTAGGAGGGTTCAGAACTCTAGAGCGTGTATTCAGTTCGCACAGTCGGTCCATCTGTTCCTCAGCTGGACGGATTTTAATGAAATTTGATATCTATGAATTTTACAAAGAATTGGAGAGCCATTTTAGTTTTCATTCAAATCGGACATTTTTAACGACAACTTTACTTGAAGATCTACATGAATTTTTGCATGTATCTCATGTGTAACTCTGTAAATATTTATTGAAAATGTTTGAGGGGTAATGTTGGTCTTATTTGCAGATGATAGTAATTTGTTATTTACCGGAGCAGATGAAGTTGACCAACATAAAATAAAAAAAAAATGCGATGAGAGAGTTAGAAATGTGGTTTGAAAAAAATAATCTTATAATAAATTTTGAAAAAATCATTTGCTATGTTGTTTCATCCAAAACAAATGAGAGTTCCGTTAAGACCACAAATAAATTTTAAAACTATAGAAATTACCTATAAACCAGAGAGATTTTAAATATTTACTTCCATGATGTGTATGTATTGACTGTCTTCTAGTGCACACAGTCTCACTTGTCACTTCACTACATGTTTCGGCATCACTGTGCCATCCTCAGGTGTGTTATTTACGTTAAACTATTGCACTGCTCGCCATCATGTGTCGTCTATAAAATGATGAAATATATAAATTTTATTATAGTACATGACAAATATACATTTTAAATCATTTTATAAATGACCCCCCCCCTTGTCTGCGGTAGGGTATTGTATTATGGGGAGGGGATAACAAATATGACAAATTCTTTAAATTGCAAAAAAAAAAAGGTCCTTTGAATTATCAGTGGGGTTAATAATCGAATGTCATGCCATTTTTAAAGATTTTAATATTTTAACATTGGCTGTGCTATACATACTTGAAGTGATATTTTATTAAAAAATGTATAGAGTTTATGGCAAAAAATGTGGACATCCATAATTACAATATTGGTCATCCCACATTAGAACTGGTTGGTTGTCCACATAAATTAGAAGGAATTCACTTGTGAGTGGTAAATAATGTAAAACCAATTGCTTGACAGGTTAAACGAAGTAATTTTGAGTTATTATCACTGTAATAACTGTATGAATCTCAAGTATGGAGACTGACGTAATTACATTTTTCTAAAGTTGTTACATGTGACAAGCTTATTTTTTACATTGAGGAGTTGTTAGCCCCATGCCCAACCCCCAAGCTAATGAGGAGCTTCATAACTTGTACACTTCTCCAATTATAATTAGAATGATCAAGTCAAGGAGGAAGAGATGGGCAGGACATGTAACACGAATAAGGGAGAGGAGAAATGCATATAGGATATTGGTGGGAAAGCCGGAAGGAAGGAGACCACTGGGAAGACCAAGGCGTAGGTGGGAGGACAATTTTAAAATGGAGCTTAGAGAGATAGGATGGGATGGTATGGATTGGATGGATCTGGCTCAGGATAAGGACCACTGGAAGGCTCTTGTGAACATGGTAATGAACCTTTGGGTTCCATAAAATGCTGAGAAGTTCTTGAGTAGCTGCACAATTGGCAGTTTCTCAAGAAGGGCTCAGCCCCATGAGTTAGTGAATGAGTGAATGAGTGTTGCATGTGGCAGAAAAGGAAATGAGAGGTTATATACACATGAATTTCAGTTAAATGGATATCCTTTTAGAATGTGAAGTGTAAGTATGTTCCTGGTTTGTTGCTCTCACCCAGTTTGAAGATGATAGTGTGAATTTGTGTTGTACTTTATTTAGTGCTTTGTAAGCAGTGATTGTTTTTATGACTGGTTATTTAACATCACTTTTAGTGTCAAGGCTGTGTAGGGATAGATAGGGATAGATGATAGAATGTCACATGAATGAAGCTGAGTGGGAAGGGATTTGGAAGGAAGCATTCATGGCTTAGTCAAGGTGCAATTTTGTCTCAGTTACTGAGATGATTATTTATATTTATTTACAGTTTATCAGGGGGGCTATCACAGACCCCTAACCAGTGTTGGATCATTTTTAGAGCAGAAGGTTTGGTGTCTAATTCCTAACCACTGTTGGGTTCATTATTGGGGACCATATGGGCTAGCTCCAAATTCCTAACCAATGCTAGATATGATTAGAAACCAGAAGGACTTGCTGCGAATTCCTAACCAGTATTGAGTCGTTATTAGGGGACAGAAGGACTGATGCCAAATTTTGCTGTCTCCAACTTCTTAACAGTGTTGCATTATTACTGGATGCCAAGGAAAGGGCTAGTGTTCTTCTGTTGTTAGATATCAGCAGGATTGTCTTCAGATTCTGGGTTGTCTGCAATGGTCTGGCTGCAGATTTCTTACCAGTGTTGTACTTTTGTCAAAGACCAGAGGAGCTGTGAACAAAAGCACATCAGTGATATAAGAGTGAATTATCAAACATGAATTATAGTATTTAGTAACAAATCTGTTACTCAAAAATTACAAATATCATAGTTTTGTAATTCTTATGTTGGTATGCTTATACATCTGATATGAAAAAGGAACCGTTGAACCCGTCATACAGTCTTGAAGTTGATTTTTGCATTGTCTTGTTACATACCCAATCCTATATATGCATATCTGATAAGTGTATTTTCATGATGTAAAATGAACATGAACGAAAATGTGTACTGAAATAAGAAAGGACTTCCTTTTAAGCTGGAAAATGTAAAAACAGAGGTCTCAGGAACGTACTCAGAAATGAATGGGTAGTAAGTAGGTAGTTCAAAATATCAGATAACAAGCAATATCATAATTAATGCAGGGCACTTAGTTTTGCTGCAAAAGTAAAATCTAGCAGATTTTAATGGACTGACATGTAACTAGGATGAGGCCCAAGGAATACATTTAGGATTTTGGTTGGGAAATAGCCACTCGGAAGACTGGGAGGGCGCTAGCTGGATTCTTCTCATGGGAGGCAGATGGAACTGGCTCAGGATTGTATCCAATGGTAGACTTTGGTGTTTGGGTTTTGAATCTTTTGGCCCTGTTATCAAAGTTGTAGTTAGTCAATAAAAACATTCCAGGTTTCACAGACTGAAAACCATGCTCTTTTTCACTAGTTGTCAAACAAGTACTGATTATACAAATATTATGTTTGTGGACATTATCCGTTATCCTGTTTTTATTTAAAACAACATTTCGGAGACTGGATTCTGCCTCCGAAATGTTGTTTTAAAAAAACAGGCTAATTGATAATGTCCAGAAACAATATTATTTAAAACACCACCCTTTTACCTGGGGAGCACGCGGTAGCGTAGTTGGTTGCTACAAGCCGGAAGGCCACGGGCTCAAATCTCGATGAGGTCATTGGACTTTTTTTCAGTTTACCTAATCCTTCCAGCCACAGTATGGCCCTGGGGTCGACTCAGCCTCTAACAGAAATGAGTACCAGGAATATTCTTGGAATGTTCTTGGGGGTAGAGGGCGGCCGGCATGTAAGGATGACAACCTTACTGCCATCTATGATCTGATTGTATAGAAAATGTGGGAACCTCAACATCTCACAACCTTATGGGCCCCCATGGCCTGGTACAAGAATACCTTTACTTTCTTTTGTTTACTTACCCTTTTACCTGAAGAGGGAGACAGAATCCAGTCTCAGAAATGCGGTGTTTTATATAAGAACAGGATGATGGATAAGGTCCAGAAACCTAATATTTGTATTAATCTACCATTGTCACAAACTTTCAGATCTTAAGTACTAATCTCACATGTGTTTTACTTGCACAGATTGTACTTTAATACAATTTTCTTTTCTTTTTCTTTTAATTTGGTATGGGAGGGCGTGGATTTGATTCATCAGCTTTTGGAGAGGGGCTGCTAGTGGGCTCTTATGAACATGGTAAAGAACCTTTGAGCTTCATAAAATGCTAAGAATTTGTTGACTGCCTGAGCAACTGTTAGTTTCTTAGTAAGGAATATGCTCCATGGAGTTGGATAATTAGTTAGTTACTTATGGTTTGAGGTTCTCACAGCAATGATTATGAATTGTTCTGTCTTCTGGGATATAACACCATGTAGTTTGCTGAAATCAACGAATTGGTTTCTTGCTTGGCCCTGCTTCTTTGGCCCTGAAAATGGAGATGACATGTTCCTTCAAAATGTTAGTTGACTTTCAGCAGACATGGCATTATATCCCAGAGGGTAGAATTGTCAGTTATTTACTGAAGACTTAAAGACAACGGAATTATTTATCTAAAATGAATGGTATTAAAGTTAATTGAATTACCTACTTTTCAATATTAAAAGCACTGAAACCAAAGAAGTAAGGAAATTTTTGAGTTACATGTTTTCAAAT